ATCCCCTCCCTCCATCCACCACCTGCTGCTGCATCCCCTCCCTCCATCCCGCACCCGCTGCCGCGTCCCCTCTCTCCATCTCCCACCCGCTCCTGCATCCCCTCCCTCCATCCCGCACCCGCTGCCGCGTCCCCTCTCTCCATCTCCCACCCGCTCCTCGAGTCCCCTCCCTCCATCCCGCACCCGCTGCCGCGTCCCCTCTCTCCATCTCCCACCCGCTCCTGAGTCCCCTCCCTCCATCCCCCACCCGCTGCTGTGTCCCCTCCCTCCATCCCCCACCCGCTGCCACGTCCCCTCCCTCCACCCCCCGCCCCTTCTCGGCACTCACTTGAAGCAGTGCTCCTTGTCCTTGGTGTTGTCGGTCTCACAGCCACGTGCCTCCTCGAGCAGCATTGTGCGAATCGCCTCCTTGTCGTTCTTGTCCTTGAAGTAGCTCAGCTCGTTGCGCGTCAGCACAAACCACCTCGTCTTCCAGCTCTGCAAGCACGCGGTAGAAGACAGGCTGACGACAATTAGTTGGCGTCTTCAATAGGGTGTTGGGCAACCAGTAGGTGACGCCTTGAGTAGCATTTGGGCTGGCCAGTAGGTGGCGCCTTGAGTAGAAGTTGGGGTAGCCAGTAGGTGGTGCCTTGAGTAGCATTTGTTGTGACCAGTTGGTGGCGCCTCAAAAGTCAAGAAGCGAGTGACCGGAGGGGGGGGGAGGGGTGACACAAGATGATTACTATTCCCAAGAAGAGCTCTACGATGCCTAGCAATCCTACACCAGACTATCTCAACACCAGTCACCTCACTGAGAGCATGCAACAGCATGCGCCTTGCCCACACTACAAACCACCTTTCAAAAAACGGCAATCGAATATAAACGTGCGCTACAACAAATACGCGAGACTGAAATCTTGCTACGGTCTGCCTGGGCCCGTTCACACCCGTGTTATATATGCTAATCGCTCGATAATCGCAAGATGCACTGTGTCGCGATTGCGGCGGTCGCCGTACGTGTACGCGAGAATGCCTTACGTCGCTAACAGCACACCACTACTCGTGCAGACCACGTCACGTTCATAGCACACGCGCGCGCACACACATCGATCGCACTCTACGAATGGCAGCGTGCGATGACAACCACTGCATTCCAATCGTTCTGCTTTCCGAAATGGCAGCACGCGATGACAATTATTCTAAAGTGTCTCTAGTCAAAGTGGGGCGGCACGCGACAGCAATCACTCGGTTCCGAATGAAGGAACGCGGCGCCAACTGTTCCGTATCGAATCAGACAGACAGCTACGTTCGTACGTGACATTCCGGAGACAAGCCCCGCACTTCTATCGACGGAGAGGACTTACCGGCGAGCTCGTACAATCCATCTTAATGTCGGCAAAACAGAACGCACCCAGAACGGTAAAGTTTGTGATAAACGGCAGCGAGACATTAGCTCTTATATCCAATACGAGCACAGGGGGCCGCGACACCCTCGACTTTTGTAGCCAGGGGATGATTCTATTAATTAACTAGAGCACTCGGAGAGCGCAGACCTCCGCCAAGGCAGCTCAATTCTCTCACTGTGAAAATGTTAATTAATTAATTAATTAAATAATTAATTGGATCCGGATCACCACCAAAATGTAATCAATTCTAAGTTACCCCATTTCTGACCTTTACTAAAAATTTTATTAATTAATTAATTGGATCCGGATCACCAGCAAAATGTAATCAATTCTAAGTTACCCCATTTCTGACCTATCCTGAAAATTTAATTCATTAATTAATTAATTGGATCCGGATCACCACGAAAATCTAATCAATTTTAAGCCCATTTCTGACCTATCCTGAAAATTTTATGAAATCTGTCCATAACTTTTTCAGTTAGGCTGTACACAAAACAAACCAACGCACAACCCCACAAACCAACAAACCCACGCCGGTGAAAACATAACCTCCTG